CGTGTGATGCCGGGGTTAAGAGTGTGTGGTTACCAAATTAGTCCACTGATTGGTTTGGCATAGTTCTAGGTGTGGATAACAGAAAGGCCCACTCTGGGTGTGAGTATACTCCATCCTGAATGGAACATAAGGGGCAGGAAGAGGACTTCTATAGTCACTTGCTTCCTCACTACTTCACTGCTTTGCTGCCCTCTGCCTACCATGAACTGTTTCTCCTCTGCGATACTCCTCTGCCACACCACCCTGCCTTGAAGCAGCCTACTGTGTATTGAAACCTCTACAAACTGTCAGCTATAATAAATCTTTCTTCCTTTAACTTTGGGTGTTGGGTCTCACCAAGAACAGGAACTAGACTATATGACAAATCAATAAAAGTTATACATCGTATCAACTGAAGCAAGGACAAAAATCACGAATTAATGCAGAAAAAGCCTTTGACAAAACCCAATGTTTGTTCACATTAAAAACCTTTAAAAAGCTGGGTATGGTAGCTCACGCCTGTAACCCCAACACTTGGGAGGCTGAGGCACGAGGACTGCCGTGAGCTCAAGACCAGCCTGAACCACATAGCAAGACCCTGTCTCAAAAAACAAACAACAAAACAAAACACCCTTCAAGAAAATAGGTATAGAAGGACTCTGTATCTTAATCTGATAGAAGTCATTTATGATAAACTAACAGCCAGTATCAAATTAAATGGGGAGAAGCTGAACGCTTTCCCTCTAAAATCAAGAACAAGACAGGGATATGTGCTATCACCACTACAGTTCAATATAAGTCTTGAAACATTAGCCAGAGCAAGTCAACACACAAAAATCTACAGCATTCCCACATAGCAATAATAAATTCTCTGAGCAATTAGGAAAATACCTTTCATAGTAACATCAAGAAAAATTAAATACTGACAAATTAATCTAGCCAAGGAAGTAAAAGACCTGTACAAAAACTATAGTACTCCAAAAAAAAAGAATAAAAGAGGACATCAGAAATTGGAGTGCTGGGTGTAGTGCAACCCATCTGTAACCCCATCTCTTGGGGAGGCCAAGGCAGGAGGATCTCCATGAGTTCAAGGCCAGCCTGCACTACCTAGTGAGACCCTCTCTCAAAAATGAGGGAAGGAAGGAAGGAAGTAGAGGGAAAGAGAGAGGGAGAGAGAGAAAGAGAGATGGGGAGGGACAGCGAGAGGGAGAGGGAGAGAGAAAGAAAAAAAGAAAAAAAGAAAAAAAGAAATTATCCCTGTTTCTGGATAAGCATAATCAATATAGTGAAAATGGTTATACTTTGAAAACTGATACACAGATTTATAATGCAATCCCAATCAAAATACCAATAGCACTCCTCACCAAACTATAGAAAAATAATCCTAAAATTTATACAGAATCAGAAGAGACCTGGAATAGCAAAAGCAATTTTGAGCAACAAGAGGAAGGCAGGAGGCATCAGAATTCCAGGCTTCAAGTTATACTACAAAGTAACAGTGATAAAAACAGCATGGTAGGCCAAAATAAAAAGACATGTCAACTGATGGGACAGAATAGAGGATGCAGAAACACCTCCACACATATTCAGCTACTTGATCTGAGCCAAAAATGTATGCTGGAAGAAAGACAGTCCTCTAAAAAATGTTGCTTCTGGGGAAAACTCACTATCCACATTCAGATGATATCTCACCATGCACTAAAACTAAAATCAAAATGGATCAAGAGTCTAAATGTTAAAACACTGTGCTAGAAGACAGAATAGGTACAACTCTTGAAGACGTAGGCATAAGCAAGGACTATATGAACAGAACTCCAATTGCATAAGAAATAATACCAAGAATCAACAATAGGATCATAATCAAATTAAAATGCTTCTGTACAACAAAGAAAACAACCAACAGAGTAAAGAAGCAACCTACAGAATGGGAAAAGCTTTTGTCAGCTATTCCTCAGACTAATATTTTAGAGGACTAGAATCAAGAATATATGAAGACTTTAAAAAAAAATATATATATATATATATATACATATATATATATATATGAAGACTTTGGAAAAATTAGAGCCTCTCCAAAATAAAAGACCCAATCAAAAAAACAGGCAACTGAAATGAATAGATGTCTCAAAGAAATACAAATGACCAGTGAATACATGAAAAAAAAGTTCAACACCTCTGGCCATTATAGAAGTACATATTAAAAGGACAGTGATATTCTCTTTTACTCCAGAAAAGAATGAGTCTGATCAAGGCAATCAAATAATAAATGCTGGCACAGCCACAGAGGAAAACCGGAACTCTTCTATTATGAGTGGGAATGTAAACTGGTAACACCACTATGAAAGTCTGTATGGAGATTTTTCCCAAAACTAAAACTAGAAATTCCACTTGACCCAGCTATTCCCCTTCTAGCTATCTTCCCAAGAGAATTAAAGACATCATTCTACAATGATTCATGCATACTAATGTTTACAGCAGCACAACTCACAATAGCTAAATCCTGGAAGGGGCCTATTGTATTCATACACAGTGGAGTACTACTCTAATATAAACAAGAGTAAACTTGAATCATTTGGAGGAAAACAGATGCACCTTGAGATCATAAGGTTGTCTACAGCCATACCACCCTGAATGCACCTGATCTCGTCTGATCTCAGAAGCTAAACAGGGTCGGGCCTGGTTAGTACTTCGATGGGAGATCATAACTTTAAATGAAATAAACCCTGCACACAAACAAATATTGTATGGTTTCTTTTACGAGAAACCCAAAATAGAAATAAAGAGCAAAACAAAAGATGATAATAGAAAGTATTCAGATAGAACTTTTGCATATGTGAAGAGAACCAAGAGATCGAGGGAGTGAGGGGAAGGGGATTAAAAAAATTAATATGTGTTGTATGCATGTGCAACTCCCCATGAGTAATGTGATCATTCTGGGCTATAAACATGTACTAATGAAAATGAGCAATACCCCCCCCCCAAGTCTCTGTTTTGGTGGTATTCAGGATTATACCCAAGATCTTCACAGTGAGCTACACCCCCAGCCCTTTTTTATTCCGAGACAGGGTCTCACTAAGTCACTAAACTGCCCAGGCTGGGTTTGAACTTGTTACCTCCTACCTCAATATCCCAGAGTGCTGAGCCTGTGTACACCACCACAACAGCTCCAGGACGTTTTAATGCACTCATGGTCTAACCATTTGGGGCAGGGCTCAAAGACCTTTGACAAAGGTTCCTGGCTGTTCCATGGCCCCAGAGTGACTCTGTTCCCTGGCTCTTCCTCGTTTATTCACAATGCAACAGAAGGTGGACCAGGAGTGGGGGTGCCATGGTGACCAGTCCAGGGCTGAGTCCCCACCCTCACAGAGGTGATATGACCAACACAAAAAGATTTGGAAACCAAAACTCACAACAGCAGAAATGGAAAGCTCCACAGAAGGATCAACAAAGCTGAGGAAATTAGAGAAAAAAGATGCCAAGATAGGAAGGTAGAGGAAGAGTTCAGAAAGTCCAACATGCCAGGAGGTCCACACAGTCAGGCAGGAGAGGAGGAAAGGAATGTGTAACTCATTTCCCACCTCGCCTGCCTGGGTTCCCGGAGAGAAAGGGCTCAAGGGCAAGGCCAAGGGATGTGAACAGCCGCACTGCACCAAAAGCCAGCAGGGGAGGTTTCAGGTGTCACAACTGTAACAAGTGTAAAGGCTTCCAGGAGTCTAGCTTGTGTCTGACTGGAGCATCAGAAGGAGAAAGAAGACACTGATGGCTGAGCATGTTACAGGACCAGTCAGGACAGGAGAGGAGAGGAGATAAGGTGGAGACCAACGAGGCACTGGCTGAGGACAGGCGCATGGCAGCAAAGGCCCGGAGATGAAAGAAGATCCGGGACTCGCTCTGGAGCTGGAACAGGAACTGGTGATGGGCTGTGGGCTGGGGGTGGGGCAAGGGAGGCCCTGGGGTGACTCTGGGGTTTTGGCTCATGCAACTGAGAGTGGTGTGTCACTTGCTAAAAGGAGGGAGACAAGAGAAGGGAACGGTGTGGGGAAAACAGGGAGGGAATCCAAAGGGTGGAGTCTTTTACTTATAATTGGTGGGACAGCAAGCGGAAAGGGCAAGTCTGGAGCTCACAGGTCCCAGCTAAGGGTAGAAGTCCCCAGCATCAGACGTCTGCCCAGGCTGTGGTGAGAGGTGGTCACCCAAGGAAAAGCAGTGAGGAGCAGGAGGCGGATGATCAAGTTTGGACAGGTCAGCCCCAAGAGCCGGAGGCCAAGGTGAGAAGGCCATGTTGGCTGCTGCAGTTTTTCTGGAAGATCACCTGTTCTATTACATTTGGTTTTGTTTCATTCTTAACCTGGGGGAGGCGCAGTGGTTCTCTCTGGACAGCAGGTGCCACCCCCTCTGCGCCCACGTTTCCTGCTTCTCATCCTGAGCAGCCTTGCCAGAAGCTGGGCTGCGCTGATTTGTCCTCAAAGGACCAGCTTTGAGGTTAATCGTTTCTATTTCAGATTTTTTCCATGTTTTCTTAATTCTTTCCCCCACTTTCAGCAGACTGATTTTTAACCTTGTTTTCCTAGTGACTGGTGGTAAGTCCTTCATGTATTTCACTTGCACCCCACCATCTGGCTTCCTTACCAAAGCTTAAAACCTAAGTCTCCCTTCTCCGAGTCTCTGCCAAGACTCTCTCCAAATCTGCTCAAACTGCATGTCACTTCCCAGCCTCTGGGTCTAAAACAGCCTTGAGCTATTCCCTACCTAGTATGAACTGAATAAAGTTTAAACCATCACAACATTTCTATTTAAAAAAAAACAATTATTTTTTTTTTTCTTTTCCAAGTCTGTGTGAATGCTCCAAAAGGCTGTTCCAGGCAGGGGACGTGGCTCAGTGGTACAGCACTTGCTTAGCATGTGTGTGAGGCCTGGGTTCAATCCCCAGTACTGCTGAAAAGCAAGCAGTCTGTCCCTTGGCGGGGGGCAGGGGGGATTAGGTTCTCCCTGACCCTGCCAGGAGCTGTGCGAACACTCACAGCATGGCGATGCCCCAGTGCTTCCCTGCCCTCTCTCCAGCTGCCTGGAAACCAGAAAGGCCAATGAGGGCCACGGTGGGCGTGATGGTCAGAGGCCCTATGTATCGCAGCAGAGCCCCAGGCAGGCCAAGGAGCCCGATGACCACTTCTATCAATGAGGACATGATGATGGCACCCTGGATCTGAAAGAGATGGAACAGACATGAGCGTGAGCTGTGTGGATGTCCAACAGTCCGCACATCACCTGCAACCCCAGCTAACAATTCTGCAAGCGAAGTTATTACACCACATGGCAGGCACAACAGCCGGCAAAGTCCCTGGGATCCCACCAAAGCTTCAGTGGAGTAAAGCAGGCCAAGCAAACTGGAGTGTGACGTCCCTGAAGGAAGAATAACAGAAAGGGGCACTGGACACAAGGCCTTTTCCATTGGTGAGTGAGACAGAAAAGTTCCTAATTGAAACACATTTCAAAACCAGCCTTCCAGGAACACCACGGTACTTGGACTGTTGGCTTTAATGAGTGAGCTCCTGGAGCACATTTAAAAGATAAAATTTTGCTGGGTGGCGTGGCACACGCTTATAATCCCAGCACTTGGGAGGCTGAGGCAGGAGGATTGCCATGAATTCAAGGTCAGCTTGAGCTACATAGTGAGTTCAAGGCCAGCCTGAACTGTGAAGCAAGACCCTGTCCCCCCAAAAATAAATAAAATACGGGATAAAATGTCTAAAGGAATGTCTCTACTGTGCATAACACACGTATCTGTGCTAAACTCTAATGTAATCTCATGGGTTTGGGAAAATATGAACACACTGTTAGCTATTCTTTGTCTCTGGTGGCTGCCAAGACTGCTCTTGTTCAAGTGTGCTTTGGCAGACAAACATCTGTGGTGCTTTCAACAAACACAGGCTGATGCTGGGGCCAGCAGCACCCATTCTGCTGTCTGTTGACAGCGGAGAGAGCTCCCGAGAGGGGGCCTCAGCCGGCTGCGCTGACAGGCATGAGCTGACAGGTCTGAGGGTCTGCAGGAGGAAGGGAGCAATGTTTCCTGCAGGCACAGAGCCACACTACAATTAATTTAACAATGGAAATAAACATTTCATAGTTGGACATGAAAAGAAGGCCTTAGGAAAAGCAACTGCAATTTCTTGGGCGCAACCAGCATCGAAGCGAATAGAAACACAAAGAAGCTGCAGGTGGACAGCGATGGTCCTTTACCTCTCGGATCCGCGGGTACCAGATGTGTTCTGTGTGCAAGAGCTCTGCTGTCCCATTGGCAACTGAAACATCTTGAAAACAAAAACAGACAAAGGTTTTCTTGGAGTGACACTGCTGTTTCACAGGCCACGCTCATTTTACTCTTTAAGAAGAATTCCCCCCGTTACAAGTACATTGGTGTCATTACCTATCCGTAAAATTGAACTTGCAGCAGTAGGGCTTGTCATACTGCAAGGTGGGTCCCCAGCACTAATTTAACCAAATGTCCTCATCCACTAGAGCTCCCCAAAGTGTCAAAAGCTGACGGAAGTGGTGCTGCCCATTACTAGTACCAGCTTCACGCAGGAACCAACCTTTGCAAGCAGCTAACTGAAATGTCAGACACCAAGGTTGCTGGACTGAGGTTGTAAAACCTTAGATAAAACGGAGGGCTTTTCCCAATTCCTAAATCAAATTAATGGTCACAAAGTAACTCCTAGGAGCAAGGAAGGAAATGAAGGCTGGAAAGCTTGGCTCCTAGAACCTCAAAATATAACTACGTTTTCAGAGTACGCCAGGTCTGACTCTGATTTTCTCCTGTTTCTTATCTTTTCCTGACCTTATCAGGTTCCTTAAGGATCTCTGCAATCCCTAAGGAAGGGGAATGAAAGTCATTTGCAGAAAACCACAGTAGCCAGATCCTTAAAAGGCAAAGATGATCCACAGAAGGGATGCTGACGCAGCCAAGAGAGTGATTACGGGTGGGTCATAAAATCCACTGAAAGAGAGAGGCGGGAAAATAGCACAAATAGTCTCCTGTCCCTTTGCCATGTTTGTCCCTTTCATTAGCATGGAGAAATGAGGTCATTTCTGGCCCTTACTTGCTCTAGGGTTAGGGATGAATGAGTGGATAGAAAGAGAGAGACAGAAACGGTCCACAGATTGGAGCATTCTAGGCTGTGTCTGGGTTGGTGTACTCTGCCTAATTTCAGAAGGAGCGAACACCGCTCAGGGCAGCGTGTCCAGGCCTCCCTTTCATCACCTGCATTCAAGGACCCCCATGACATATGTGGAAATAACTGCAATTACCTGTGGTGTTACATTTCCATTTATCTAAAGACAGGATGGCTCGAGCAGGGGCCAAAAATGCAAAAGCACTGGCCTGAAACAGGGGTAACCTAAAAGAAACGAGACCAAAACCATGATCACAGCATCAGGAACTACCGAGGTAGTTCTCTATTCCCAGCTTAACAGTCTTTTCCATAGACACACAGCACATCGGTAAGGCAGGCACACCTGAAGGAAGCCCCGCTCTGCACAGCTCTACGGGCGTCCATCCTCCCCTCCTGCCACTCTGTCCCCACGCGGCTCCGGGGGAACCCTGTGGTCAGTGCCAGCACCCCAACACCAGCCCCTGCCATGGCCAGTCCCTGCCATTGCCACCTTTTCCCCTTGGGGGTGGGGCCATCCCTAAGAAACATCAGTGCACATCTGTTAGGTCTCCCCTCCCTCCCTTCAAGCTTTCATCAGTTACCACTGGAAAAAAACTATCTCTTTCTGTTGTTCCATTTTAGGAGTCAAAAACCACTCTAGTCATAAAAGTATTGAAATCATTAAAGTAATGAAATCATGTTAGTGGTCTAGATGTGTCAAGAAGGAAAGCTGTAAGTTACACAGTGACCGTAGATATCATAAATATGCTACTTCATCATAAAAAATACTTCGGTGTTTTAACATATTTCAAAGGGCTGAGAGAGTTGGCAGACACTTCATTAAACTTCCTATCTGTATTCTCAAGTTAAATGCAGAGACCCTCAAATGCCACCATTCAGTTATACTTTAGATAATTCATATTGACTTTATGAATAATTTAGCTCCCCAAAGATTTTGTCATTTTTATTGGAAATGTGCATCACTTCAGCTAAGCTGTACCGGAGTGGCTTTGTTGGTTAGCATGAGAACTTAATAACTTTTTTCATATTACTTGGGGGTAAAATATAAAACTGGCTCCTGCTGTTTGCAGGGAAAGGAATTGCAAGGTACCCGGTTCCTTAACTGCTCCCTGAGACCTTGTCAGTGACAGGAGCCCAGCCTTCTCCCCTCTGAGCTATGATAGCAAGTCCTGCCCCCAGCAAAATAGAACTGGTCCGAAAAGAGTAAGTGGCTCTGGCCAAAGGACAAAGTGGCTGTCCAGAGCCCAGTTCGACCCATTCTGAGCTAGATGAGTCAAGACTTTGTCAAGATGCCCTCCTGGCTGATTCAGTCATGCAGTGAAATCAACTGAGCAGGTAGGACGGGCTTTAGGGCAGAGGTGAGCCACACAATACAAACCAGATGCTCTGCTGGCAGCCATTCACAGGGGCGTGCCCCCACCAACCATCCAGTTACAATTACCTGCCTGAGGGCCCCAGCTCTTTGCTGTCAGAGTGGAAGTGAAGGTTACCTAAAGCGGAAAAATACTTCAAAGGGGAAACATCTCATGCCTTATGCAATTCCTTTTGCACAAATCTTCAGGAACACACTGCAGGGGTGAAGGGGGGTCAGCATGCCATTAGAAATGGATGCAAATCATGTCTAATGGTTCAAAACATGTCTATTTTATGAGTTTCAGACCGCAAGCAAGGTACCCTTGGGGAATGTAACGTGAGCAGTGAGCTGCATCTGGAGCTTGTGCTTAGGGACACCACCATCACACTGCACCAGAGAGTCCCTGGAAGGGGCAGAAGTCAAGACCGGCTCTGGGTTTCATTCCTCAATCAACCACAGGCTGAAGCTGATCTCGGCACCTCTCCAGGAAAGCATTTTATGGCTTATCCAGGACAGGAGGTCCTAAGAGCACTGCTCAAGGAACCTCCCGCTCCCTGGGTTGCTGAGAGTGGGTGGCACTAGGGAAAGTCTCCCGGGATGAGCTGGGGAGGAGGTGCCCAGGCTGGCAATGCCTGCCAGACAGCGTGCCTCTGTAACTGGCAGCACACATCAGCGGTCTGAATGAAATTATCTCGGGGAAGTGAGGGTAAAGATCAAGTGAACACATTCAGTGGCGCTTTCCCAGATCCAGGTGGCAGAGCTACTTTCCAGCTGAAGAGTGGCATCCTGAAAGCCATTCACTGCACGCACTCTGGCTTGGCCACTGTCTGTGCGGAGGTGCTCCCAGACTGCCTGGCCTCACACACTTGCAGCTGGGGTCCCAACAGGGGCAGGTGCGCCCATTTCAGCACTGCTGCATGCCCAGAACCAACCAACGATGAACCGAAGGCACGCTCACAAATGTTCTTTGAAAGGAATTTTGTTAGACAAGAAATAGAGGACGAGCCTTCCTGACATGTTGACTTTTAAACTGCAAATATAGAAGACTTCATTTAAATTAAAAGCACTAAGTACAGGGATCAGAAGACATGTACGTGAATTTCACAGTAAATCCGGATACAAAGCCTCCGCTGGTGCCATCAGAGAAAGGTCGTAATAAGCTGGAAAAGGTTGTGAGTTCCACAGGAAGCACCATGAAGGTACAATATATATCTGTCCAGAAACTAAACTGTTTCATGGAAAACAAAAACTTCTCACTGACAGTGCTCTACGGCTGGCCTCCTTGAGCTACCATGAGCAACCTAAGATGGTACACAACCTCGCACTACTGAATGAGCTCCAACTTGAATCTGGATTACAGGGCAAATTTAAACAATAAGCTCTAAGAAATGTAAGTACATCTGGCTTTGAGGAGATATAGTTTTACCCTTCTATCAACAACCAGGTGTATGTCTCCTTAGCACTTTTAAAAAAAAGCAAAGCACAATGTGTCAAAGAAACGTTTTTCTTAATAGGTAACATTATTTATAGTATATCTATTCATCCCTCTGCCCATCTCTCAACTGAACTGTTAGACAGTAGCTTGCACACCTAGTACATGTCACCCTCTCTTAAAAATAAGCATATGCTAGTCGGGCATGGTGGCACACGCCTGTAATCCCAGCACTCAAGAGGCTGAGGCAGGAGAATCACTGTGAGTTCAAGCCAGCCTGGGCTACACAGTGAGATCCTGTCTCAAAAAAAAAAAGCTTATGCTTCTACATCAATAACTTTCCCTTATCATATCCAAGAAAAGATCATTAATAATGTAATTTAATATCCAAGCATATTGAAATTTCTCTTACCCAATGCAATCCAATGGCCTACACAATGTATTGTGTTTAGGGCACAGGTGTTTTGTACTGTTACTATGTCACAATAGGACACTCTGCATGTCCCACTAGGTAGGGATGCTTGCTTAGGGTGGTGACTGCTATATCTCTCCATCTGAAAAGTACTCTTTCCTATTTGTAATTAATAATTTGTATGGTGACTTTCTTTTTTTTTTTTTTTTTGGTATTTTTGAGACAAGGTCTCACTATGCAGTTCAGGCTGGTCTTGAGCTCACTTTGTAGCCCAGGCTGGCCTCAAACTCCGCAACGATCCTCCTGCCTCAGTCTCCCGAGTGCTGGGATTACAGGTGTGCACCACCATGCCCGGCCTTGTAGGGTGATTCTTAAGACTGTATGGATGGCATATTATCACTTGCTTTACATTCTAACATGGGGATTTAAATACTATGATTTTCTAAAACACACCAAAAAAATGATTTTCCAATTTTATCATTCCATCTATTATTAATTTATTAATCAACATCTTTTTTGCAAGAACATTTCTTTTTATTCAATGTCATTTTCTCCTTTTTTCTATTCTCTGAACATCACTGTAGACTCATGAATTCTTTTTTCACTCCAGGTTTTATAATTTTCTACCATGACTGCTCTTAATAATTAAATTGTCCTGAACTTGTCCAAAGCAGTCTGTTCAAGCCAGTTCCTATTCCTCTTGACAAAGCCTTCCCCACCCTCCTCCCCTCCCTCCTTCATTCTCTGAGTAAGTCCCTAGCTTTCTGGCCTGAGATGGTCCAGATTCAGCGTGCCCTTCCCTCGGCCCATACCCTGGGGTCAACCACCCTGCCAGGGAACCTTGGTTCGTAATAACAGAGAATGGTGGTTAGGAACTGAGACCTGGGCTCTAGGTGGACTTGCTGTCCCTGAGGTCCACTGTTTCTAACTATGCCTTTTTTTTTTTTAAAATCAAGGATTATAATGACTCTTACAATTCAACCTAATACCACTGGACCCTTCTTCCTTTCTCTATTTTATCTTTCTTTTCTTTGGATAATATCCTTTTCAAACATGATAGTATTAGCTACTGCAGGTCGAAGGCTTGTTAGCATGTAAGACCTTTACTACTTTAAGATCTAGCCAGGTACAAAAGGGCATGAGCGTCCAGGGCATGACAAGGTCCTGTGCAGATGACAGTAGGGTGCATGTGACTGCCCACGTGGGTAGAAACTCACCAGACTGTATGCTAGTTAGAAGGGCAGATTTCACTGTAGAAAACACTTTACAAAGTTCTGTCTGCTAGGTATCTTCACAGGGTGTGGAGGGAAAACACTACGGATTTCTTAAGGTGTCATAATGCTTAATAGTCCCAGCATTTAAGTGAGAGAAAATGGAAGAGCTTCCTCTCTCCTGTACGGGGACTACGCTGTCTTCTGCTCCTGTTCCGTGCTGCTTCTGCCAGCCGCCTGCCTAAAGGGGAGGGTAAAGGGGCAAGAACGGGGCCAAGAGGAGGACGAGCAGTTCACAGCATGGAGATGTGCCAGGCAGTGGGACGTGAAAGTCAAACGAATACACACATCAATCGGGAGGACCAGCCACTTTCTAGGATTTATCACCAACAAAAACAATACAATAACGTAAAGGGAGACCGCCCAGAAGGGCAAGCGTGAAGAGCAACCGTGGGAAGCCCAGTAACCAGCCCTACAGAACAAGTGGCTGACTCAGGAGTCCCTCAGGGCTCAGCGGGAGCTGCATCAAATGCCACTACCCATTTCTGATGGGCTCAGGGGTCAGACAGGCCCAGCCTATCAGGGTGCTGGCTGTGTGGCCACGGCCCACACCCACTCCCTGTACCACTGGTCAGGGCCACACAGTTCCACCAGGCTGCAACCCCTCTGCCTCACCTGCCTCCTTCGCTTCAGGAGAGCTTGTGTGTCGATTAAGGGCCAACAGTCTGCAGGGTGCACTGACACTCAATACACCTTCGTCATTTTACACCAGCGGGAACCAGGCTTTGAGAGACCAGGCAGCCTGGCCAAGGTCCCAGGGCAGGGAAGGCAGACCTGAGCCCAAAGCCCCAATGTGGCTGGCTAGGGCAATGATGTTTTCCAAGGTCGATCTCCTCAGGAACTCCCTGGCCTCTCAATGTAATGTACTACCTCAACATTCTTTCTCAGTGAAGTAGCTGGTAAATTTTTTATTTAATGGAACAACAACAAAAAAAAAATCGGACAACCTGCTATTATGTGCCTACTCAGGGACTTTGGCAAAAATGTTCACCCTGAATCATCAATAGCCCTGACCCCTTTTCCAGGTTCCAACAAATAAGGGAAACTACGAAACAAATCAGACACCATGAGAACTCACTCAAGACAAATCCAGGGCGTGGGACACTCTGACAACCAGACTCTCCCTGCAACTGCTAAGAGACCAAAGGGACACTGTGAAAGAAGGCTCCACATGAGCCAACGTGCTGGCTTGTGGAGCCCAAGGGGACTGCTGTCAAAAGTATTTTCAGGATAAGCAGGAAAGTCAGTGTGGACTGCACAGGAGATGCCAGGACAGAAGCGTTCCATTTTGTCAGGGGCCATCGGCGAGAGCCTGGTTGCACAGGTGGCCCTCATTCCTAGGGGAGTGTGTATGTGAGCTATCATGCTAGCAATAGTAACAGCAACATATGGACCCCACGCATATACAGGTATGGAAGGAGAATCTGCTCACTGCACTCTTTTAAGTTCCACCAACAGCGAGGAGCTCAAAGCCCCCAGGTTTAGGGCCTTGCCTACATGGAGAGGGCCCCTCGAAGGCCCCATAAACCTGTTAAGATTGAAGAAGGGGACCACACCTCTCCTGGGCAGACTGCTTCAGGCTGAATCTGGGTGAGGGGGTCTCTCAACAACCCCGCCCTGACGGTGAAGGATTGTAAAGCTTTGCACTAAGTCCCAGAACGAGCTGAAGGGCCGCTGGAAGGGACAGCATGTGTCAGCAAGAATGAGGACAACCCTCCCAATCTCCCTCAGGGGCACTCAGCAGTGAAGATGCTAAAAGCAAAGTGCAAGGAACCTAGGTCAAAGGAGAAGAGGTAGGAGTGGGGAGGCGGAGTGAGAGAAGGAAAAGCAGCTACCCGAAAAGGTCCAAACCCCAGCAGGTGGAGGTTCTAGGTAGTGACCGAGCATGCAAGTCCCACAGGTGGTGCTGAGATTTGGGAACTCTGCTTACGGAAAGATGGTGGTTCCCGGAGCACAGGGGCCACGGGCAGCAGCGGGGGAGGGGTGGCGTGTGGCATGTGCCCAACTGCACTCTGGCATCTCAAGGGTGGTGCCCTGTGCTCGGGGTGAAGTCTCAAAGCTACCCATCTGTGTCACCACTGCAGTTTCCCCATCAATTCTGGTTGCTTTTATGGCACAACTGTTTCCAGGCCAGCCCAGGAGGACCCGGCCAAGCACAACGGTCCTCGCGGCTCCAGAGTTCCCAGGGCACCTTAGAAGCAGAGGTCACAGTCGGCCCTCGGGGCCCATGACCCCAAGACACCCAGTGCAATGAATGTGAGTGACAGCAAGCACCACCGGGATACACACACACACAGAAAGGACTTGCAGCAGGAACTGTGCCATTTGGAAAGGACCGTGAACCTGCCTGTAAATCATGAAAGCTGAGCGTGAAACAACTCCTCCTTCTGCTGTTCTGAGCCTGTGAAACCCCAGCAATACCTCATGGTTCACCTGCAAACCTTAGTGGCGACGCTAGGAGTGAGCCCCCCTTGGCTTCCCCTGCCTTTTCCTCCCACAGGGGCCACTCTTGCATCCCTCACTTTTCTGCTTACTTGATCCTGTTTTGAGCAGAAAGTAAATACAAGAGCCTGTCAAAATTCACAGCTTATGACAGCCCATGTCACATGCATTTAGTGGAACAAAAGGAAGTTCAGTGACAGCCTATAACCTCCTAAGCTAATTGGGGAGGCTTATAATAATCTACAATAATACAACAGGTAGTTAAAGTAACAATGAAATGTCACCCACTGGACACCTCCGGTAGAGGTGGAGAGGCCACCTGCCCATCTCAACGTCGAGAGGGTGGGTCCCCTCACTTCTCCTCTGCCACTGCTAAAACCAAAACCTTTGAGGCACAGGCTCAGCTAGTAGGGTCGTGCCAGATCCCTCCCCCTATCTGCCAATGGGGAAAACCTGTGCCACACTGTCACTTCTTGCCACTATGCCACGGTAGAAAATGCTCGCTCATCTCTCAGAGGCCAAGCACTCACTCAGTCCTCAGGGCCTGACTCTACCCCCAGCTGCTTGTGAGCCGTCAGGCCCCAGCAGGATACAATGCCTTCCTGACGGCGCTGCACCGTACGGCGCAGGTGTGGGCCACGCACTCATCACACAGTCACTTCCGCTTACCACCTGCTGCGCAGAAAGGGGAGGCACCTGTGGCCCTGAGTCAGAAAGCTCTCCTTTCCCAGGTCAAGACTGAGGACGCCATCCACAGCCCAAGGGCCACAGAAATCCCATGTCCCCAGACAAGCACCTCCGGAGAGCACCAGGACACCCTCCCGCTGCCTGGTGCACAACCAAGCCCACAGCCACACAGCGAGGATGGCGGCGGGGGACCTGCTGCTCTTCACACGCCACAGGGACGACAGGGTGCACTGCCTCACCCCCAGGCTCCACGCTTCTGGTCCAGAGCCATCCAGGCAGGGTGCCAACTCCTTCACCTGTTCTTTGTCAGCTCACTGCCCTTTCAGAGGAGGAGGGGAGAGAGCCGCATGCCTGGACAGTCTATTTGGGTCTTGTGCCCTAACAATGAGCAAGAGGCTGCCCTGCCAGGACTAAAGGGACTCACCCTGATTCCTCCCAGGACCCTCTGCTGTGTCACCTTAGACTCTGTCCCCCAGGTTCAGCCTAGGCCTTGGCATGGTGTACGGGGGTGGACATCACTGCAGCCAAGACCTCTCTTACCCGCTCTTCAGGTCAGCCAACCACTCCCAACCAGAGGCCTTGCCTGCATTACAGATGGACTGGCCTCCAGGTTTACTGACAAGCCAGATGTTTAGGGGAAGAAGCACCTCCCAGAGCCCTGCTCCTGCAAGCTGGACTTGCCACACAGAGCCCTGAACAGCGTAAGGCACAAAGGAGGCACCATCACGTTCAGCTGCCTGGTTTGAGTGCTGCATGGAAGGCTTGGACCTCACCCCCGCCAGCAGTGGATGACAGCCCCGCCCCACTGCCCAGCATGGTGGCTGTCAGTGGCCTAGTGGGGCCAAGAGCCCGAGAAGCCCAAGGACGTGCCGGTCCCATGGCTCTCCATCAGCGGCACGCACAGGGGCTGTGGGAAGCCCTCTCAGGACATCATCTATACTGCAAGCGGAATACCCAGCACCGCTCGCTGCCACCCAGCGAGGCAGCATTCCAGCTGATGAAAGTGGAGGCCTCAGCCCCCAGGCTACCCTCAGAGCTCTGTACCTCCCACTGCCACTTCCAGCAAGGACGCTGCGGCCTGACTCAGACTGTCTCTGACAAGCAAGAAAGAGAACAAGAGAGCTCATGCCAGGACAGTCCTGCCGGAGCGGGTCCCCCCCCGACAGCCCAGCCCAGCCACAGGACAGGAAGTGAGCAGAAGCAGGGACAGAGGAGAGGGCCAGCCCGAGAGAGGTAGGGGAGGACACCCCAGTCCTTCCTGGCTGTTCCACTCTCACGGGGATGCACAGGTGAACAAGCCAGAGCCCCAGCATCAAGGAGGCCGCCCCAGCCAGCAGGGAGAAAAGACACAAAACCAGAAAAGGGCGCGTGGGAGTAAAAGCCACGGCTGAAGAATGAACACAAGATGTGCGAGTGGGAATTCAGAGGGCGAGGGCTTCCAGGGAGCCGGGCATGTGTCACAGGAGGAAGGGAGAACCAGGGCGGAGGGTGCACAGGGCTGCCAGGGAGGAGGCTGAGACGGCAGGTCACGCAGGGCAGTGGGAATAGGGCTCAGTGGCATAGCTGGAAATGTGGAGGCACAGAGAGCAAGGGACACATGGGACACCAGGCACATCTCAGTTTGAGCAAAGAATGGAACTGCGGCCTGGCCAGCCCAGGAAGATGTGGATGGCAGGGTGGGGCACAGTGGGGGTCAGAGAGGAGCCTGGAGGCAGGAGGAGCTCTGGGGACCTGGTGGGAAGGCCCAGGAGGGCGATGAGGACCATCAGGAGTGGAGATCAGAGACAGGCTGAGTTTCTGGACTGGGCCACTGGGAGGGGGTGGTGCCCTTCACCAAGAAAAGACACATGGCAGTAGCCCTGAGGGTGGGGCGGGCACTGACGGCCACTGGCATCCCCCCTCCAGCCAGTCCTTCAGAGCTGAACCTTGCAGCATGTTAGCATCCCACTCAGCAACCCAGTCTCACCTGCATCCAAACGTGGTCTGCAGCAAAGTGGTGATTCCCACGCAGAAGAAGATGGTCCCGATGAGCTGGCTGGTGGCCCACTGGTCATACCCCACACACATGGCGTCCGCCAGCAGAAAGGGCACTGCGATGGTGCCGCTGAAGCAGGTCAGATAGTGCTGTGGGCAGGGGAGAGATAGGAGTGGGGAAGAGTGAGGCCCCCCGTTTTCCCTGGCCGCACCCTTGCCTTCTCCAAAGCTTCCTGTGGCATCCACAGGGTACTTTCTCCTCTGTCCTACTCACACATGTGAGTACTCTTACGTTCTGGAAATAAACCCAAGTTACTCAAACCGTATTTCTGATTTACTTGTATTTTACACCTACCTCCACAGGGTGATTATTCAATGGTTTTTCTGTTTGAGGGTATAGTGTTTTCCACCTTTTCCTGTGGTCTGGCATTGTTTGGTAAACACAGCACTCTGTTTCGTTCAGGAGAGGTTCAAGGGCATGGTGACTGTAAGACTCATCCAGGAGAAACTGATCAGCTCTCCCTTTGGGGGCCCCTCCCTACTCCCTGTGGCCTTGGCAGAGTACCCCTCTCTCCCCTGGGTGTCTGGTTTATTTCTGCTCTGCAAACATCCTACGTTTCTTCCACTCCTGCCCACACTTCTCACACACGCCGCCAGCAGCCCACAGAGCCAGTGGCACAGGTGCTTCTGGGAGGAGAGGTGGCTGCTCGGTGTGCACAAGTATGTGTGTGCTGTATGTGCCAAGAGAAGCAGGGTGCAGGTGGGGCTTGATTTAAGGGAGACTTCCAGAACCATCTATAGTAGAAAGCCTTCAAAATGTACTTTTCTTGCACCTATTTAGGGCCTGCCAGCCTGGGTAAGTTGTTTACCAAGAGCACAGAGCTCCTTTGGCCCTGACTCCTCCTTCATGCAACTCCCTCTGTCCAGACAGCCTCAGCTCTGCAAACCCGTCCACAGCACCAGTAGGCAGCAGGCCTGGCCCCACTCCCAAGCCAACAAACATCCTGGGCCCTGAGACACCTTCACAGCTTCTGAGAAAGCTCAGGCGAACCCACTGCACAAGCTCAAGGAAGCAAGAGTGGAAAGTCAGACTCTAGAAAGGGGTCCAAGCTGAAACCCAGGAGGTGGCGCTGAGGAAAGACCCCCACCTCCTGCCACCCTAGCACACTCACACCTCAAAAAACTAAAACTAGAAAAATGACATTTGACCCAGCTATTCCCCTTCTAGGAGTCTTCCCGAAAGAGTTAAAGACATCATGTTATGGTGGTGCATGTGTAGCCATGTTCACGGCAGCACAGTTCGTGACAGTGAAACCTTGGAAGCAGCCTCCGTGCCTGCGTGAGACAGATGTGTGGCTAAAGAAAGGGTGGCCTTGACCTTGAAGCACTGCTGTGCCACTGGGGGGGCGGGGAGGCGGCCAGGCCTTGAGTCTCATATCAGAAAGACAAAAATAAGTAAGGAACAACATAAAAGGTAACAGGAAAAAAAAACTTTCCTAGAAGAGTTTTTGGCTTATGACTCTAAACACTGTGATTTTATTTCTGCATTTTCTGACATTTATAGGATTTGACAGCTTTTTAAAAGTATGTCAGCTGTAGATTTCTCAAACCAGGGATATCTCTGTTCATGCTAATATCACTTCATATTTTTGTCAAGTAAATAAACCTTTGGATGGAAAGAAAGAAAGAAAGAAAGAAAGAAAGAAAGAAAGAAAAGAAAAGAAAGAAAAGAAAGACGAAGGGAGGGAGGGAGGGAGGGAGGGAGGAAGGAAGGAAGGAAGGAAGGAAGGAAGGAAGGAAGGAAGGAAGGAAGGAAGGAGAGGAAGGAGAGGAAGGGAGGGGAGGGGAAAGAGTAAGTGCGCCTCCTTGTTCGTCTCTCTTCTCCAAAAGAGCCATGTATAACCCTAAAGGCAAGGGAAAAGGTGCTGACAGCCAGGAGGGAGGGTGCTAAAGGCACAAGAGGCCTCCACTAGCTTGTGCCTTGAGCACCGGCCCCAGCTCATCCGTGCCTCCTTCCACCGGAAGCTGCAATGGATGGAGGGGCCACTCTGTGGCCAGGTTCCCTTCCTCTACATCCACGCAGCTAGGGCACTTTACAGGGCTGCCTGCATTTCATGGCAGACCTTGCCATGGGTGTGGCCTGGTTGGCGGGGACAGGGATGGGAAGTGAAAATTAATTCCTTTTCACTCTTCTGTATTTCTCCCTCTAAAATCCTCTTCTATTTCTATCCTTTCCTTATTTTATTTCTCTTGCTTGTTGTCTGAATATTTTTTCTTCTTTTCCCAGTTTTCTTCCTTCTATTATGAACTTGATGTTAAAAATTCTCACTCATTGTTCTTTTGGTTTTTTGGTTAGATTTTTTGAGACAGGGTCTCACTATGCAACCCAGGCTGCACAGTGCGTTGCTCCAATTTGCAGCAATCCTCCTGCCTCAGCCTCCAGGGTGGTGAGATTACAGGCATGTGCCACCACACTCCACCCATCCATCATTCTTAAACCAGTCATTTTATGATAAAATCTTTAGTAAATAAAAACCAAACTTGAATTTTCTAAAATTCCAGATGGTAGACAATTCAAGCGTCTTCCAGTGGTTACACATCCTACAGGAAGCATCTTACCTGCAGCCCCAGAAATATGCACAGGTACCAGGGAGGAACATCTTCTATGGTGTAGATCATGTCTGACCGCTGGGGGTCCAGACTGCCAGTGCTGTCCAGGGTCTCTGCGAGAGAGCTCTGTGGGCAGGCCGGGACAAGGGAGAACTTAGTGAATGCCAGAAAACCGTCAGCTGAGCACAGCCCACTGCTGATGACAAGTGGTTTCCTCACGCTGCTCAGTAACTGTGAGCCCTGGCCACCTGTGATGCAAGGCTCAAGGACACTTGCTCAGTGGGACAGGCAATCCTCAGAATTCAGGGCTCCTGTGTCCCTTGACATTAACTCATCCCCAAGAGCACCCAGCTTGCTCAGAGCTGGCCCCCAAACTTGTGGACCCTCCTGCATGGACAGAGACCATGGAGACCATAAAGTGATAGCTTGAGTGAGACCCAAATGAAGACATGCTGTAAAACGTTTAGTCACTTTCAAACTGATACCCCTTTGGCCCCAACCCACCTCTGTCCAGAAAGGATTTTTGTACCTAAAAATAAAACTTATGTCTCCCTCCCAAAATGGTTACTCAGACAAAGATGCTGAATGCAAAAAGCAAAATTCCCAAGTCTATCAACATAATAACTCAAAGACACTAAGAATGTATTTATAATTCGGATGACAAATTTTCTTCCCCCTAACCCCCATTAGTAAGAACTTTTAAAGAGATTAAGTGTTGCATGCTTTTGAAGCCCAAATCACACAATGTCCTCACACTTGAGGTTACAGCCCAGGATTTCCAGTCAGCCTGGGCCACACTTCCAAGCTCACTCAGCATCGGACCACACAGGAGACTCAAAGTAATCCTGCCTTCCCCCAGGGAGTCTCCGAACTGCGGCTCCAAGAGAGAACAGCAGCCTGGGAACCAAATCCCTTAAATACAACACGTGGTGCACCTCTGACGAAAGGTAAATGTCTGAAGTAAGCTGACATTTGATCTAATCTAACTGTAACCGAATGTGCCCTTTTGGAGAGAATATTTTCTTCTGGCAGATTTGCACTGTTGAACAGGTTCAATTAGATTGTGGGTGTCTTTTGAAATCTTGGTAGAAATGGCAGAGAAATAGAGAAACTCTGTGTGTGTGTGTGTGTGTGTGAGAGAGAGAGAGAGAGAGAGAGAGAGACAGAGACAGAGACAGAGACAGAGAGACAGAGAGAAAGAGAGACAGAGACAGACAGATCTATGTGTAGAAAAATCAGCTCAGTAGGCTGGCGCTGTCCAAATCCTGCACCTTTCAAAAGAATGCTTGGCTCTTGCCCAGTGCCTGGGAGACAACCTTTGACATCCTGCCTCCTAAGAGTGGATCTGTGACTGGAAGCCTTGGACTGGGCCAACTGTTTGTGCTAACAATCAGCTGGCCTCTGGTGACAACTGAAGTCAGCTCTGCAGACCTGTGTGACCAACGCTTAGTGTGAACCCTGCACACTAGGCTGGGGTGAGCTTCCCCAGAGGGGGCGCACCTATGAGTGCTGTCACCCGTTACTGCTGGGAAACCGAACACTCCATGGGGAGAAGCCAACCACAGAGCCAGCACCTGGTGACTCCTAGACCTGCCCACATGCCTTTTTCCATCATTTTACTCTCTATGCTTTCTTTGTTTGAAAACAAAACAAAACAAAATAATAACAACAAACCATGAGGATTATAACGCGGCTGAGTCCCATGAATCCTCACCAGGAACCCTGCACTGAGCTAGCCATTCGCTAAACATGTTGCAATCACGGATACCGGGCTTGCCACGCAAAGGACAGCTCAACACCAACCACTACCTACAGCCTACTAGTGCTACTAGTAACAAAGCATGAGGCAAAAAACACTTCCCCCAACTGAGCACGTGCTGGAGTTTCACTGTTGAAGTGTAGTCCCCAAAGTGACACTACTGAAAGGTGCTGTGGGCTTTTAAGAGGGAGGGCCTAGTGGGAAGCCCTGAGACCATGGGGGGTGGGTGACACACAGGGACCTAAATCACTCACTCCCACACTTTCCTGTCCTGATGAACCCTACCCATCAGCAGCCCACTCCACCGAGGCTGCCCGGTCTCGAACCAAAATAAACCTCTTTACTCCCAAGTGCCCTGTGTTAGATATTTCACTATGTGACACAATGCTGAATAATACAGTATATGACTTTTATTCCTCTGGCCAAAGAGCTTCATCAAAGGCACCTTCTGTCTGCATGAGCTACCTGCTACTTTCTCTTATTCTCTCACTTTCTGCAGTGTTAGAAGACAGCAAGCATAGTGCTAATACTTTTTTTTAATATAAATATTGTAAATAATTTCATTCAGTCCTTGTAAGATAGGTGCTAATACCAACAGACAAAAAGTCTTTCACATGTCAGAGGTTTTCAGATTTTCAAATATGTGCCAGTTGGACACCTGAAATCAAAACTGCTCAAACTCTGAAACTCTCAGTGGCATCGAAGAAGTTTTGGATTTCCAGATTAACTTTTGGATTTCCACGCTTCATTTCCAGATTAAGCATGTTCGGCTTATACAACAAACAACAGAAAGATGATGTCCATGGCGCTGCAGCAATCCCCTTAGGGTCTGAGTCAAGCTTACACCCAGGCCTGACTCTGGCCTTCAAGCTCTTAACAGCTTTTCCCTGGCACCCCCCAGGGCTTTTAATGATGTATGATGATAATGCCAAGTGTGCTGCCACATGCCTGTAATCCCAGCACTTAAAAGACAAGACAGGAAGATTGGCCCCAGCTTGAGGCTAACCTGGACAACACAGTGAGTTTAAAACAGCCTGTGACTACATGGTGAGGCCCTGTCTTTAAAAAGAATCTGTACAATATCCCTGCGCAGGGTCTCACCTCACTGTCATCAGACGAAGCTGTAACTATGACTCCTACCTCCACTACAAAGAAAACACATCATAGGCACAACCCTCAGCACACCCCAAGCCACAGACATTGGGACCCAGGGCCCCGGGCCAGCTGAATACCTTCTCCGCAATGCCATTTTCCGTAGTGTAGATGGCCATGAGCTCTGTGTCTTCGTTGTCCTGCTCCCCGCTGGACGTGGCCCCTCCATTGATCACCACCTGAGGAGAAATGCTCCATGAAGAGGCTGCTTCAGCACTTACTACTCAGTTGTAGAGAAACATGCTGCTTCCAAAAGCCCTCCAAGATTCTCATGGGAGCTGAAGCAGCACTGCCATCTATCCCGGTCCCCACATGAAACCGATGGGCGCTGCTGTGCAGGGAGAAGGCGAGAATTCTGACGGAGGAGAAACAAACTGGGTCCCACCGGATAAAGGTGAATGAGCCAGAGTGACTCCTCGGGCTATGGGACCCCAGCACCCTCCAAGGTTCTCAGAGGCAAGAGGGCCCTCGGTTGCCTCTGTTAAGATGTCTCCACAAACCCTGACTGGGACTTTACTGGCCACCTAGTAGGAGGAAGTACTGGGGGCTACAGCACTATCATTGTTTACCTCACTTGCTAGCTGTCCGTTTCTCACCACTGTAAGCAGACCAGCCTGCTGCTGTGTGCACCTGCTCAGGGCGCTGGGAGGCGTGTGCAGGTTGGAGAGTGCAGGGAGGTGATAGTGGGGCACAGGTGTCTAGACCCATAAAATCTAGTTAGACAGACTCAAAGGAAACACCTGACACCTGGCAGCAGTCTTGGCCCCCTCGCTTTCCATGCCTGTCCTCAGCAAGGGGCAGTGGAATTGTCTTCACTTCCACAGGGCTGGAACAAGAATTTCAAAATATTTTTACTTTCACCAAGCAGTTCTATAACCCGGAATCTGTCCTGAAGAATAGGAAGGGCTTTAACTCAAAGTCATCACTGATTAAGTATAATAAGTGCCTAACTACAGACTATTCATGTGCAAAATATTATGAGAAAAAATGGTTCTTACAGGGAATTTGTAATGCAAAAATTGCATATATAATATTTAGTTAACCATACAGATGGTAATACAACATTTCAAAAAGACTGTTAAATTACAGCACACCATTTAGAGAATAATGTTCTGCTTTTTTATTGGTGATGGTAGGGAGGATTTGAGACAGGATATTTCACTATGTCGCCCAGGCTGGCGTCAAATTCACAGCAATCCTCTTGCCTCAGCCTCCTGACTGCTGGGATTATAGGTGTGTGTCACCAAACCCAGCGATGCTGTAGGCCTTTGACTTTTTACAGAAGCCAACTGGGTTTGTGATAGTGCTTTATAAAACTAGCTGCTAGCAAGATATACCCACTTCCTGAGAAGTTCATGTCCACAAACAGAACTCCTGCAATGGGTGCTGCACTCCACACCTATCACAGCAGCACTCAACCCACTGAGAAGAAGCCAGGGAGGGCCGCGTGACTCAGAATGAATTCTCCGGAAACAGCAGCGCTCAGTCAGCAGCACAGGTCTGATGTGGAGTCCTGTGCTGCTCAGACTGCCTCCCCTGCACTGTCTCGGTTGCTGCAGCAACAACCGCTTCCTGGTACAGGCTGCCTTTGGGAGTGATGCAAATGTTTTGGAACTAGATGGAGTCGGTGACTGCAGAACACTGTGAATGTGTTAAATGTCACTGAATTGTTCACTTTCAAATGGTTAATTGTTATGAACACCTTGCTGCCTCAATAATTTTTAATTTAATAATTTTTTTAATTAATGTGGCAGCAAAGACGACAGATGCGGCCAAGAGGCAGCAATTCCCTCTGCTCTCCTGAGTTTCCCCTCTCTCACCCACATGCACGTGCACACATGCACTCTGGAATAAGTACTGTAAAGCAGACAGGCCTCAGCTCAGACAAAGGCTCCCATACTCATTTAACAACCATCGTGGCTGGCGACATCGAAGCCAGCATCCGGGTCGGCCGAGCAGTAGGAGCTGGGGCCTAGTGCGGCTGGAAGTTGCCTGGGTGCCCCAGACAGATGAAGTGATGAGTCCGGGCTGGGGCATGACTTCGCTGCCAGCCTGTCGGGGATCAGGCAGGAGCCAGCAGGCACCCTGGCAGGTGGGAAGCCTTGCTCCCCTAGGGTAAGGTTGCAGGCCCTGTGCCTGCCCCTCACGGAGGTGTCCAACTGCACCTAGGCCATCCTGCCCTCCGCATCAGGGTTCTGCCACGTGGTCAAGTAAAACCAACTATCTTGGCTGTGTTCCAGCAAAGGAGGATGCAGGCTGCCATTCCCAGGGGCTCTGTGCTGAGTGGGAGTCAGGCTAAGGAACTCAGACTTACTGCAGGGGACCCTCGGGAAGCTATGAGCGAGCGGTGCTCAGAGTCTGACATCATACCCCTCGCCGCAGGAGCACAGACAGGAGGGAGTAAGGGAAGGCTGGGAGACCCTGAGGACAAGAGGTAGCAACAGTGGCCTGCACAAGGTGTCTGGAGCTGGAGGGATGGAGGTCAAGGATTGATGAAAGCCCTGAGGCTGCCTAAATGACTGCTGCAACACCAGGAGCTCTGCAGGGCCCCTGTCACACAGCAAGGGCACCACCCAGCCCTGGACCAGCTGTTCTATCCGTGCCTGGGCAGCTGGGTGGAGAGAGGTGCTGGTCCCAAAGAGACCAGTGTAGGGAGCATAGGAAATCAGCCCTGGAAGAAGGCTTCAGCTCCCCACACTAGTCCGGGATACGTACGGAACCATAAATGTTACGGACCTAAGTAAAGTAAACACAACTTGTAACATCAGGGTTAAGCTGGCCAGGGCTCTCAGGGCCCACTCTCCACCCCGTGGACTCCTGTGCCGAGCTCAGGTGCAGCCCACCCACTCCCTCGCCAGTCACGCCAGCCGTCTCCGACACCCTCACACTGGCGCCAGCTGGGGACCAGGACAAATGGGGAAGGTGGGAGGTTCTGGAGCAGAGGGGGAAATAAAGCAGGTTGATACCAAAGGGAGGAGGGTCTGGGCACAAGAGGGGCTGAGGCTGTGAGGAGTGGGGCGCCCCCAGGATGCTCTTATCTGACCCTCCTCTGCAGTGCGTTTCTGTACTGAGAACGCGCTTAGAGATGAAAATGTTCTACCCCAAATACTGATCTACTTCACAGTGCTGTTTCCTCTGGCTGATTAAATTAGCTACACTAAGGATCTACTTTTTTTAAAAGCACACAAAATTTAATTTTAATTTTAATTTTAAAAATCAAATGCTGGGGCTGGGGGTACAGTTCAGTGGCAAAGCACAGAGCCAGCATGCTCAAGGCTCTGGGTTTGATCCCCAGCATTGAAAAAATAAATCAGCTCTTCAGAAAAGGCACTGAGATTTTTGTTTTTTAACGGAAAAGGATAAAAATACTGCTGATAATATCAAAGCTTCACATTTCTGAACCTCAACACTATTTTTACTGGGAAATAAAACATCTCTTGGAAAGCTTATAATAAAGTCTGGTTTTGTTTTGTGCTATTAATAGCATCACAGATAACAGAGGAGAATCTTGGCATCTTTCCCCTCAGAAAATTGATCAAGTTTTTATAGAAATATCACTTTATTTATAATCCCTTTGGGAATAAAATGTCTGTTTTCCACCCCATCTCACACCACCCCACTATTTGAAACTAAACTTGAGGCTTTAAATTGTCTCCTAAATTACTGCTGTAAATCAGGTTTCTCATTTGAATTTGTCTGGTTGATTTTGTCTGTCTCCCAAATGCAGGGCTATTTTGACTTTGCATGTGGGAGTGTGTCTACCGCTCAAGAAATGGGTCTTTGTGTTCATGTGATTTATTCCTCCTAAGCTAAGCTGACAGCGCCAGAGTTCACTTCTAAGCACAAGGGGAGGGTGACAGGCAAAGGCAGGCAGATCTCCGAAGGTATCAGAGCACCCGCAAGTCTGTCCCCCTGTCGCCACGCAAATCAGAAAGCTTTTCCAAGACACATTTTACTTCTGATCTGAGCAGAGATTGGGGGGAGGGGACCCACCAAGCACCACAGCTGGGTGTGTCTGAGTGCCACCCCACCGCAGTGCTCGGTTTAAACTTCTGTCTTGTGTGTCCTGCTCCAACAGCAGCTGTGGGAGTCTGCGATGGTGGCGCCCATGAGGCAAGAACACAGGCACCTGGAACCGGCGCCTCTGCTCGAAGGTTCACAAGTCAGCTCCTCACCTATTCAGGGCTGGTACGACTCACCCACCACGCTGACATGTCTGGCAACCTGGTGCACCAATGCACACTAAAGCAATCAATTTCAGAGTAGTAACAAGGTGACCCAAATTAACTGCTTTCTGTTCTCTGAATAAACACATACAATTCTCAATGGACATACATAAAAGGTTATTTCCTCTGACAGCCAAATCTACAATTAAAAGGTGTTCTGAATAAACAATAAAGATATCAAGATTAGAGTTTCCCCAGACTATATGCCAAGCTCCCCGCTATGAACATAAAATCTCCCACTTGCCTTAAGTATTACAGCAAATCTCAAAACCAGCTACCACGAAAAATAAATCAAAAGGTGGTTATAATACAGCATGTGCTAAAGCTGCAGTCTGTCAATTCTAGCCCGAAACACGCAGCACACAGATGTAGCACACCATGGGCTACCCTGAAGCTGGAAGTACAGAAAGCCTCTCCTCTTGCTCTCAATGCCTCTGCAGACAGGAGGTCCCTGTGACACCCATCTGCAATGGCTGACACTGCAGCCAAAAGCAAGCAGACCCCAGAGGGCTTGGTTCTGGTCTTCTCCAAGGAGTCCTGGAAGCACATCAGCTAGTGCACTCTCAGAGTCCAGGTGTGTCCGGCCTGTCCCCTAGACCACCTGTCCTTCAAGAGGACCCACAAGATGCTTCACTTCCGAGACCCTAACCCACCCCCGGAGCACCAGGCCCACACTGAAAACCTGTGTAGGTTGTGTTCCTGCTCCCACACACGGCCTGCGGTGGGAGCAGGTATGGGCCGTGAATGTTTGCCCAGCACATATTCAGGCCAGGCACTGGGCTGGGCACTTTACCAACATCTCTCCACAGTGAGGCTCCTAGGCAGGGACCTGGAGATGTCTGTAATGGTCTGAATATGATCTGTTTCCTCCCAAACTCACAGAAACATAATCGCCATTATGAACTATTAAGGCACAAGACCAGATGAGACCTTTAAGCGGTGATTAGAGACCCAGCCTTGTGGAGGGATAATCCAATCATGGGATTAGCAGATTAAGAACTGTTTTGAGAGTGGGTGTGCTAGAAAAGCCAGGCTCCAACACACTCCTTGTTTGTGTCGGGCAAGGCTCTGCTGGCTTTCAAACTCTGAAGGAAAAGGGCCATCACAAGACACAGCCCCATCCTGCAAAACCAGGACCAGAACTATGAGCCTAAATGAACTTGCAGCCGAGCCACGTGGCACACACCTTTAATCCCAGCCAACACTCACGAGGCTGAGGCAGGAGGATCACCTCGAGTTCAAGGCCAGCTTGGGTTATATAGTGAGACCCTGCCTAAAAAAAAAAAACAAAACAAAAACAAAACAAAACAAAAAAATGAACTTGTGAACCAATCTGTGGTATGGCAACAGCAGCAATAGCAGCAATAGCAAACAGGCTAAGACAATGTCCCTGTGGACTTGGTCCTCAGGGCTCTGTTCCAGAGTCCTGAGGGTACCCAGCTGGCGCCAAGACTCACCAGGAAAGGACAATGCAGGCACCAAACTAGACTCTGATATGTAAAGAATGCAGAAGAGACAGAAACCACTAAGAAGTCAACATCCCAACAGGAAAACCACCAGAGAACTATAAATGGCCCCTCAACATTTGAAGAGGTCCCACCTCCCTCATAAGATGCAAATTAAAACATGCACAGAAACTTTTCCACCTGCCACACTAGCTGAGACCACAGTTCTCTGCCAACCATGCAGAAAACAGGCACTGCCCCCCACCTCCCTGTGAGGGGTACCCTCCCATGTCCCAGAGCTTGCCCCATAAACCCACAACCCCACTCTTGGAGATTTATCCTTCAACTACATCTGAGTGAAATTACTGAGGTGCAGTGCAATTCGTGACAGCATAATATTAGAAAGAACCTGGATATTCATCAAAAGAAATTAGATTACAGTAGATCCATCCCATGGATTGCTCTGTGGTTATAAAAAAGAATGAGTTGCTCTGAATACTGACATGGGTTCATTCATACAGAACAGATTGACAACATATTAGCAGGGGAAAAGAGCACAGTAACAGAGATTGGTATCCTGATACAAAGCTCACATCCCTCACTTCGTTTTAAATTATCAAAACCCTCTATGCACACTTAAAGTAAGCTGCAGCATAAGAAATGACCTAAAGCCTTTGACCCTGATGCATTTCACTGTCCTGAGCCCTGCCATGGCCCTTACTTCCCTCCTCAGCCCAGCCAGGGCCTGGGTCTGGACAGCTGCTCCTATAAATGCCTGCACGCCCCCAACACACACCCTGGGCCATTCCAGCAGCTGAGCTTCCTCCCAACCTGAGTATGCTCAGTAGCAGGCTTCCTCCACTGGCTTCCAGGACAGAGCCTTCCTGGGTCCCTCTGACCTCACCCTCCTCTTACTCCGCCATTATACCACCTGCTCCAGTCCCCTGGCCTAATTTAAATATCATGTCCACACTGCTCTCTCCCAGGGAGCAGCCCCAGACACACTTCTTCCTTGAGCACCACAATCTCAAACTCAAATGTCTACCCTAAGGACTGACTCCCACAGGCAACACCACATTCTTGATGACTCCCTCATCCATCTCTCCATCTCTGCGTGGGCCAAGCTGATCCTCTTACGCTCATGGAAGCAGCGGGAAATTGCCCTCACCTCCTCCTGTCCTCCTACCTGGCCCAGCAGCCAGTTCTCTTCAGGCACTGGCCACGCCTCCAGCTCCGCAGGGCTGCCACTATGTCTGCCTAGCCTCCTGCTTTTCCTCTATGGTTGCCTCCCACTCTGCAGCCAGAGGGACCCTTTCAAAACTAAGCAGATCATGTCCCTGTCTGCTTTGATCAAAGCCCTCCCACCCTTTTCCACAACTCAGCAAGAACCCAAATCCTTTCCAGATCCTGGGGCCTAAATGAAGAAACACTGAAAAACACATAATAGGCCAGGCGTGGTGGAATAATCCCGACACTTGGGAGGCTGGGGCAGCAGGATCACGGCAAGTTTGAGGCCAGCTTGGGCTACATAGTGAGTTCAAAGGTAGCCTGAATTATACATTGAGACCCTGTCTCAAAAACAAAACAAACATATGCAACAAAGAATAATATAAAAGCACACATGTACAAGATATTAAATAAAAATAAGCAGAAATTATAGAAATAAGATGTACAATAATTGCAATAAAAATACAATAAAAGCTGGCATGGTGGTACACACTTATAATCCCAGTGCTCTGACAGGCTCAGGCAGGAGCATCAGGAGTTCTAGCCTGAGCAATGTGGAGACATAGAGAAATGCTGTCTCAAAATAAAAAAACAGAAAAAAAAATGGGGGCCAGGGACATAGCTCAGCAGCACAGCGCCTGCCTGACCAGCAGGAGGTCCTGAGTTTGATTCCCGGTACAAAAAAAAGAGAAAAAAGACAGGCTGTACTTCAGCACGAAGGTCCTGGGTTCCATCCCCCAGTCAACAGACAGGATTGTACACAAGCAGAATACCTGGAAGTCCTGGAGAGTCACTCAGTAGGCAGTACTGAGGAAGCCAACTCAAACCACAAGGAACCAACGAAAGAAAAGAAGAGAGACCAGAGAGCTCCGGTGTGCAATTAGCAGGTGTTCATTCAGGACTGAGGGCAAAGCAGTAACAGCTTTCAGAGCATAAAGAACACAAAGACTGAGAATCACATTCTGAAGGCCCACGGTGCATTCTGCAGAAGAGGTGACAGAGTGGCGGGACAGGGATATGACAATCAACAGGGACAATGAAACTGCTGGTGTGCACATCACTGGGGGATTCAATGCTAACTGCAAAATATCACAACTTCACAATTAAAGTGAGTAAACCCTGGCCAGGCACAGTGGTGCATGACCGTAATCCCAGCTCGAGAGGCTGAAGCAGGATCACCAGAGTTTGAGGCCAGCCTGGGCTACTACACAGTTAAGTGTAAGGCCAGCCTGAACTACAGTGAGACCTAGGAAGGAAAGAAGGGAGTGAAGGAGGGAGGGAGGGAGGCAGGCAGGCAGAGAGGCCAGGAAGCGGGGGCAGGCATGGTCACGCATACCTGTAATCCCAACACTCAGGAGGCTGAGGCAGGAGGCTTGCTGTGAGTTTGAGTTCAGCCTAGACTACATAGCAAGATCCTGTCTAAGGAGAGAGTCAGAGTCAGAGAGAGAGAGAGAGA